CTTCTCCTTCCATTTCCCTCCTGCTCCCCCACTAACCTTTCCCCTCCCCCTCCAGTCCTAAGAGAGGGCAGGGTTCTTTGCCCTGTGGGAAGTCTAAGGCCCTCCCCTCTCCATCCAGGCTTAAGCATCCAAACAGACTAGGATCCCAAAAAGCCACTACATGCAGTAGAATCAAATCCCAGTGCCATTATCATTGGCGTCTCAGTCAGCCCCCATTGTCAGCCACATTTAGAGAGTCCAGTTTGATCACATGCTTGTTCAGTCCCAGTCTAGCTGGCCTTGGTGTGCTCCCATTAGATCAGTCACACTGTCTTAGTGGGTGGACCAACCCTTCATGGTCCTGACTTCCCAGCTCATCTTCTCCCTCCTTCTGCTCTTCAACTGGACCTTGGGATCTCAGTCCAGTGCTCTGATGTGGGTCTCTGTCTCTATCTCCATCCATCGCCGGACAAAGGTTCTATGGTGATAGTCAAGATATTCATCAGTGTGGCTATGGGACAAGGCTAGTTCAAGTACCTTCTCTTCTACTGCCCAAGGACCTAGCTGGTGTCATTCCTGTGAACACCTGGGAACCCCTCTAAAGCCAAGTCTCTTGCCAACCCTAAAAATCTTATACCTTAAGAAAAGCTGTCAAAAGTTCAAAATAAAGCCAAAAGATTATGAGTTTAGTAACAATAAAATAGTTTTTTATATATTTGTTTTTCTTATGTCCCATATAAGGTGGGTCTTCTGACAAAGAAAGAGATTTTGGATTTCACTTTAATAAGCCTGTTTGGGTTTAGAGAAGGGGAAAGCCACACTCCAACTCCGAAGCCAACTTTAATCATTAACTATTCTAAGACTACAAAAAGACTACAATTAAGAGTTCAGTCTCAATTTTCCTTTTAAAATTAACTCAGAGACCTTTTCCACATAAGTTTTTATTTTTTTTTACCTAGTTAATGTGGTAAAATGATCCATTCTAAGGTCATATCTTCCCTCTGCATTAACATTACTGCAGGGGAATGTTTGGAGTATATGTCCAGAATGCAGTTAAGTTCAGATCCAAATAATCCACATGTATCTTCTGTAATTTTTTCAATCAAAATAAATTCTTTCTCAACTTTAGCTGATAATTTCCTGGAGCTATTTAAGTTATTACCACCATCTAAGGTTTTGTTTAAATGAATCAGTTCATTGGGTTTTATCCCAGTTGTGGGCCATTGCTAGGAAATGTCTCCTAGCAATCTTTGAAAGTCATTAAGAGTTTGCAATTGATCTCTTCTAATTTGAACCTCTTGGGGTCTAATTTTTTGTAACTCTATATTATTACTTAAATAATTAATAGAATCTCCTCTTTGTATTTTTCCAGGAACAATTTGTAATCACCAACAAGGCAAAATTTTCTTCTTCAAACATTCTTTCTAAAGCAACTACATTTGAATAAGATAGAAAAATGTCATCTGAGTAATGGCAAACTATAGATTCAGGAAATGGCATTTGTATCATATCCAATGGCTGACTTACAAAATACTGGCACAGGGTGGGGCTATTTAACATTCCCTGTGGTAGAATCTTCTATTGTTCTCTTTTAGCAGGCTAAGAACTATTATAAATAGACACTATGAAAGCAAGTTTTTCTCTGTCTTTTTCTTGTAAAGATAAAGTGAAGAAATTATCTTTTAAGTCAATAACTATAAGAGGCCATTCTTTAGGTAATAGAGAAGTGAAAGGAGTGCCAGACTGTAGAGACTCCATTGGCTGAGTCACTTTATTAACAACTCTTAAATCTGTTACTCTTCTTCATTTTCCAGATTGCTTTTTAACAACAAATACAGAAGTATTTGAGAGGCTGGTTTATTCTTCATTATGTGGAGCATATAGATGCTCCTGTACCAGCTGTTCTAAGGCATGCAGTCTCTCTATTGTTAAAGGTCACTGCTTAGCTCAGGCAGGTTGGTCTGTCAACCATATTTAAAGGTAGATCTGTTGGTACCTTTGAAATATCAGGAACTGTGGTGCCCTCTTCCTGTACAACCTTAATTGTTGGTGAATGTTCTTTATAAAATCTTCTAATATTTTTCCCTGAAATATATGCTAATCTATCGTTTGTTTCTAAGATTGGGGAAATGTTAATCTGAGTAGTCCTTTGTTGTAACAAATCACATCAACACAAATTCATTGCTATCTTAGTTACATATGGTTTTAATATTCCTCTCTGTTCTTCTGGCCCTGTACATTCAACTAATCTTGTGCTCTGTTTTACCTGAGATAAAGTTCTAATCCCTAAAAATGTAACGTTATGTAATGAAGAAGACAATTCATATGGCAAGATTCTAATGAAATTATTGTTACATCCACACCCATGTCTATTGGACCTTCAATGACAATGCCATTTGTTCATATTTTTAATTTGGGTCTTTATTCATTTATAGAAGTTTGCCAAAATACTTGGGTTATGGTTTGTTGAATTTTTGTTCTCTCTTCTATACATCTGTTATCCAGAGCAGTATGGTTTCTTATAACAGGTATTAACTTCTTTAATTGCTCTGAGAAGGAGTTTTCTCTATGATGGCAGGAAATGAATGAAACGGATTTGGCATAAGGGCCAAATTTGGCATAAGAGTCTGTGAGAGACTCCTTGCAGAATTTTCTGATGGAAAACTATCACTAAGAATATTCCTCCTTGACCTTCATTTATTAGTCCAATGACTGCCACATAATCCAGGAGGGAGGAGCATTCTGAATAGCTTATTCTTAGCAAAATAAAAACATTGTTTCTAGGAGCAACTTGCCTATAATCCCTTTTAAAGTGACATTATTTGCCACAATTATGTTTGACATTTCCTCAAAACTCTGAAAATCACTTCTCCTATCCATGTATCATCATGCTCTTGAGATTCTATATTAACTGTATCTCAGATTCATTCATCCAAAGTGCTGACCTTGCCTTTAATGACCTAATTACTCTCTTTCATAGAAAATTGGCATTCTCAAAAGCCAGAGATTCAATTATTATTTGTTAGTTTCTGAATTTGGTGTCATTCTATTTACTGCTAAAGTCAATCTTTGTAAGAAATCCAAGTATTTTTTGGCCCCTGTAGAACTTTAATAAATTAATCAATTTTCTTTTCTATTTCTCCAATTCTGTGCCAAGTGTTCAAAGCTGATGCTTGGTATAAATCCAGTGTGTGGTCATCATATACAGCCCTCCTTTCTATAGTAACATAGTCTCTTCAAGAAATTGACCTTGGAAGATTTCCATACCTCTAAGTTTAATCCATTGTTCAACAATCTTGGCCTCTACTCTGAAGCAAGTACTCCATTGTAACTCTAAAACTCCATTAACCAAATCTTTCCAGTCGTTAGAAATAATTGTGTATCAAACTGACTATGAGTTTAACATTTACTTCAGAAAAGTTGAATGCATGCCATAGGGAACTTTTGCTTCCTTGAATCTCTTTAAATATAAAATGGCACAGGAATCCAGTTAGCTACAACAAAGCCTCTGCCATTTGGCAATTCCAGTAAGGTTACTAGATATATTAAGATTGATTGTCTGAAAATCTTAGGCTGTTCATCTTTGTTCTTATAATGTGAAGTTGAAATTGGCTCTCCATTACATTCTTCTGCCTGGATTTGGAACTGTGATCTATTTTTTTTTAGCTTTTTTAAGGCCTGCATCTTAGAACTCAGATTAATCAACATTTTTAGTGAAAAGACAAAAATCATAATTTAGATAAAATTTACAATTGACATTACATAAATCCTATCGAAATTAGATATCCTCTCATTTAATTGTTCCATTTTCAAACTGTCTAGGATATCATCATATAGAGATCCGAATCTCTCCATTATAATGTTTTTTGCCATTTTAATGTTAGAGAACACTCCATTTTTAACTAATTCTTCCCTTTAATAATTTTCAATCATCTTAACAAATCTATCAATGATGTTGATTAAGATGTAAGACTGATTGCTGCTGTATAGAATAGGGTTTCAAGGCAGTCCTTGGCATCAGCCCAAGAAAGGGGTTCAGGGGGAGTCTTCAATCCGAGAGAGAGAGAGAGAGAGAGAGAGAGAGAGAGAGAGAGAGAGAGAGAAAACACAATGCAATGAAACAGTCAGCTAAGGCTAGAGACCCACATTCAGCTTCAATGGGATACCCATGTGCAGTTCCAGCCTATGTTGATGGCTAAAAAGACTCAGGCAAATTGTTTTTTCTTGAATTCATACCCCAAATATTGGGAGACAATTGTAGCATGAATGATAAAAACCCAGAGATAGATATTGGGGCTCAACCTGAAAACCAGAAAAGCCAAGCAGCCTAGCTTCTAGAGAAGCCTAACCTTTACCAAGGCTGGTGACTGCAGATTGAATAGATGAGAACTCTCTTTCCTCCCATTTTATATTTCCTCCAGTGCTGGGATTAAAAGGTGTGTGACTCCCTAAGACTGGGTTTAAATGTATAAGCCATCATGACCTGGATTTGTTTCTACATTGATTTTGTGCAGCCCAAGGTGGCCTTGACTTAACAAAGATTCATGTGATTCTGATTCTGTCACCCAAATCCTGGCATTAAAGTGTGTGTCACTATTACCTGACCTCTACTGGCTTTAGCTTTGCCTTCGTTCTTCAGGCAAGATTTACTTATCAAAATACAAATAATAAACTACTACAAGGAAGCTTCCCTGCTGCAAATCAAAAACATCAAAAGTCTATAGAAATAAATGGTACTTGGAATGCAATTTTCCAATATGATCATTTAGAAAAACAACAATATTTTCTTTTCTTGGTTGTATAATTTCTATACATGCAGGGATCAGGATATTGATTGTCAGGGTCAATGAGACAATTGATAAAAATATTTCAGTATTTTAAATAATATGTTTAGAGGATTGTGTGTGTGTGTGTGTGTGTGCATGAGTGTGGTGTTTGTGAGAGAGAGTGTGTAGAAATTATTCTAGTCCTGGTCAATATTGTGTTTATAAACATTTATTTCATCATTGACTATTTTATAGGATCCATCCCTGGACCACTATTTTTTCGATTAACAGCAAGTAGTTCTTGTATTTACTGGGATGTTAGTAAATGTGGAAGTACAGGTCGTTGTTGGATCTACAGTAAGACAAAAATGGTCTTCATATTGTTGGGACTATGTAAGTAATGTGAATTATACATATTTAAGTAAATAAAATTAATTGTAGTATTTGCAACTACTTATAACAAGGAAATAGTTACCATGAGTAAATACTTTGATAATTTGATAATTAAAGGCTTATACAATTGTGTAGGAAGTATTTTATAAACCAATACTACAGAATTTATATGAATACTTGTTTTGCGAAGTGGGCTACAGTTTTGTATCATTCCTTAAAAAGGAATGATAATTGGTATAACTTCAGTTTGTTAACTAATTTTTCCTGTGCATGTATATAATAAAATTGGTTTCCCTCATGGATTTTTCAACTTTACAGTATTAAATATTAGATAAATCTGAATTGAAATATAGTTGTAAATAGCATCTTCAAAATATTGTTATCTCTCTGAAGACTAAACTTGATCACTTTACTGCTGTGGAACAGTCTTTGTACACTATAAATATGTGTTACATATTTACATATTAGAGAGCTGACTGACCAATAAATGGACAGGTAGAAATTAGGTGGGACTTGCAGACAAAAAGAGATTGTAAAGAGGGAGGAGGAAAGAGTCTCAGGAGTTGTAACGAAACATGGAAAGAAGCAAGATAAACTTGCTCCATTGAAAAAAGTTGCTGCCACCTGGAACAGTATAAATAAAAAAAATACAGGTTAATTTAAAATGTAGAGCTAGTTAGTAATACACTTGAGCTATTGGCAAGATGGACGTAGGCTAGAATCCTTTTCGGTAAGCTACTGCCTCAGGGTGCTACACAGATTATTAGAAATGGGTTAGTCAAGATGTGAGAGTTAGCCAAGAAGAGGCTAGATATAATGGGCCAGGCAGTGTTTAAAAGAATACAGTTTCTGTGCTATTATTTCGGGAAATAAGCTAGCTGGGAGGCCAGGAGCCGTGTGGCAGGAATGCAGCCCCGCAGCTCATTCAACACGTATGGATATTTGAAAACTGGCTGGCAGGACAGAAAAGTCTACCTCCATTTCTCCTTTTTTGGTAATACTAGATAAATTATGTCATTTTTTTTTGTTACTGAGATTTTCACAAAATTACTCAATATCTTTTTTTTTCCCAAAATAAATTTCCACATGTCATTTCCTTGGGAAAAAAGTTTGGGTTTGTTAAATAAACACAAAGCAGAAAAACTGATCAGGATGCAGGACAAAGATACGAGCTCTCAAACCTTCCTTGTCCCTAGTAATATGTTTTTCATTCAGACTACTCTGCCTCCACAAACCGTCCCAACAACCAAGAACCAAGTATTTTTATCCCTGAGCCTATTGGCTCAAACTACCATATTCTGCTCACTGGCCCTCGTAAGCTAATGGTGGCATCATAATGCAAAATGCATTTAGTCTCAGCACTGCTTAAAGAACCAGTCTCTGGAGAATCAAGAAAATCCCTTAATTGTAACCCCACATAAAGTCAAAAGGCCAATTACAGACATCCAATATTTAAAGGTGCATTATACACATTATACACATTACCTTTCCAAACCAGGGGAATAGGGACATACTGAAGATGCCCAAAGTATGATCAAAACACAGGAGTAAAAGCATGTAACCGGGCCAAGTGTCAGGGGATTTAGATGGCTACACCACTTCAGCTTTGCAATACACCTTCCTACTTCCAGTTTGTTGTACTCTCTGGTAGATATTTCACTGTTTTGATATCTCCAAAATCTTGTTGCCTGCCCTGCTACCTCAGATTCACTTTCACAGCTTCATAGAATGGTCTCTCATGGCCTCTTGTCTTCTTAGACTCTTCCTGTTGAAGGGACTGCCCTGCCAAGTGTTGGCTGGCCTTAGCAGCACACTGAAACTTGGAAGGAGGAATTTACAACCTCACCGCTTACTTTTACATCTTTCACATTCCTATAATACCTTGTAAATAACAGTTCAGATTTGGTTTCCAGTTTTCCAGGGACCATGACAGCCTGGAGTCACATTTGTAGTAACTTTTGTTAACTTCCTCAGAACAGAAAACCCTCAGGCTTTCTTCTTCTTCTTCTTCTTCTTCTTCTTCTTCTTCTTCTTCTTCTTCTTCTTCTTCTTATTATTATTATTATTATTATTATTATTATTATTATTATTATTATTACTATTATTATTGAAAAAAAATTACAAATCAAAAGATTACATGGGTGCCTTTAGGGTATCTTTTCCTTTATTCCAGTGCAGAAGTCTCTCCTTATTAATGCTAAGCTCCTTAATAATTACAACCACCCTTCCAGCCTCTATTAGAAACACTAAACTTGATAGGAGTCCTTTTCTCTTGAAACTGTACATTTCTATTTCTTCCATCTCACTTCTTTTTTGCTGAAGACCTATATAAGACGAGACATAACACCAAGCCTCTGGTACAAAGATATGCTGTTTTGAAATATCCTCCACCAATGAAACTAGTCTATATATTTTAATTCGGTTTTAGTCAAGTTCTTGGAACACAGGCAGAAGATAGACAAATGCTGTACCAAAACATCATAGGAATGACTGCTAGACCAGTTGTCTTTACTCCCCTCTGGATCTTCTTGAATTGTGCCTCCATTGTCCAGATTTCCCTCAGCACTATTGTTCTCCAGGATCCTATTTGAACAACTCATGAAGTTCGACTTACAGAATTCAATTACTTTTCTATTCCACAGTTCCAAAATTTTCTACATTTCTCCCAAAACCAACATAGTCAAGTTCTTCATAACAATAACCTTCCCACTTTTATCAAGTTCTTAATTAGTTGTTTTTCTGTTGCTGTAATAAGGTATAGTGACTAAAAGTAACTTATTACAGGGTTTGTTTTGATGTATGCATCCAGAGTGATGAATCAGTCACAGTGGGAAGGCTTGCCAGCAAATGGCAGACATGACGGCAGGTGCAGGGAGCTAAGGGATCGCATCTTCAATGGTAAACATGAAATAGAGAAAATAAGGTAAATTAGGATAAGGCTATGAATTCCCAAAGCCTATTCCTAATAAAGAAGTCCTCCAGCAAAGCCACTTCCCCTAGCAGGGTCATCAACTGGGGATCAGTGTCCAGATACCTGAGACTATGGAAGAAATTCTCATTCAAGCCACTACAGTGAGTTACTTTTATTTTTATTTATTTTTTTTATTGAGAATAAGAAAAAAGAAGTTTCCGCCTCCTCCCAGCCTCCCATTTCCC